CCCCCCCCCCTTCTACAAACTGTTTAGTATTCTTGTAGACCCTTTTGGGACCAACACCATGCAAATTAACTTCATTCAACCAACCATAATTTTTTTTTCTTTTTCACTTAATCAATAAAAAATTTATCGGTTTTGATAAATATTTTACAAACAATTAATTGATAATTTTTCACAAATATCATATCAAAGTAATTGCTATGAAGAATTAATTCATACCTTTTTATAACATATTTTGCTCAAAATCTTAAAAACAACATTTACACATTCAATTATGTACATATATATGCCCCTTAAATTTCAAGTGTATATATATGCAACTATTTCATGCCTAAAGCTTTAAAAAAATCAAACTTTATAACATTATAAAACCAACTGATAAACAAACTTAAATATTGGATTAATTGTGTATTCATCTGATGTAATGATAGTTAATATTTTATCGTAAAAACTAAGAATGAAAAAGTAAATATATTTGTTTTTTAAAAAATAAAACTTATATTTGAATCAAATAATAGTTGTGGCTCCTATTTTAGCTAATTTGAAGATTCTGTAAAAAAAGAGACACAAAAAAAAATATGTAGACATTGTTATCAAATTGAATATTGTAAAATTCTCCATTTTTGGTAAAATTTGTTTAATCCAAATTCTTTTTACAATTTAATATTTTAGATTTAAAAATAAAAATGTAATGTGAATGTTAATTGGGAGTATTTGTTTTGTAATGATGATAATGAAGTATTTTTATCGTATTAATATGACTCGTTGATTGTATTGTATTTAAATGATTATTTAGTTATTAATTAGTTTTTATGAAGTTTAATTTTTTTTTTTTAAAGTTATACATATACAGCAATTACAATAGATGAGGGAATTCTTTTGAGAACCTATTAACTTTGAGAACTTGTGTTATTTCAGATGATTTTTTTTCATCTATGACGAAAATTTAGAATATTATTTCACATGTACTCCGTTCAACATGAACATCTAACAACCATCTCCATTCTTTTAAACATAAATTTTATAGAAAATTACTTTAATTTTTCTTTTTTCTTTTTCATTTTCATTTTCATTTTACAATACCCCCTTGAAAATATAGAATGGAACAAGCTTCTACCCTCAAAAGAGAGCCAAAACCCTAAATACCAATGCTCAAAACCAAACCCAAACCCAAAATCAATTCAATCGAACCTCCAAAGACAGATGCGACGGCTGAAGTCGAAGGAGCCGGGGCATTGGTCGTAGGTTTGTCAGTACCTTGTGCCATTGTTGATGGCGCCACCGCCGCCGGCGTTTTTGTTGGTGGTGGTGTGGGAGGAGCCGCATCGCAGTTCACGATGTTTCTGCGGTTTCTGACTGCCAAGACTACGATGATCAGCTTCTCACCATTCTCGCATTTATCGTCGTGCCCACTGATGAAGAAGAATGGACCTGATCTTGTAAATTTGAATACGGAGTTACCGTCATCTAGGGTTTGTTTGGGGTTCGTTTTGTTGCAGTTGTGGTAAGCCTCTTCGTCTACTACCAAAACGGAATCAGACCCTTTCTTATACTTGAAAACTGCAACACAACGAAACACAAACAAAACACTAGTAATTAGCTTCTTGATCATCCCATTAATTAAATATTGTCAGCCATAAATACATACATACATATATATATATATATAGAGAGAGAGAGAGAGAGATTGTTAACCAAGTGTGTCATTGACTTGAAAGCGATTCCTTTCAGCCCAATGATTGTAGGTCTCGTGAGGGTGAAGAACCCAACCATCTTTGCTACCCACATAGAATGTGTGGCCAAAACATGGCCCAACAAACCCTACTGATAATACCAGCAAACCGAGGCTTGTTATCAGCTTCATATGGTGTTCCATGGAGAATCTATGTGTGTTAAAAATAGAAGAGAGATGAGATTTAAGGTGGATGTGAATGGGGAATATATAATAAGAGATATGCAGGTGAAAGTTACCGTTGGATAAATGGTTGGGGCTGAGTTGGAGATCACATTTTTGGTATTGTTGGTCATTGTAAATCAGATATGGTAAACTTGTAACGGTTATCATAGATCATAATTCAAATTTTCTTAGGTTGTAAGTGTAAGTTTCCATAGAAGTATTGATGGATCAATGTCTTTACAGCTTAATCAAAAAGAGCAAATTATAATATATATATATATATATATATATAGAGAGAGAGAGAGAGAGAGAGAGAGGAGTGATCATATGAAAACCGCCTTCATTTGTGTAAACCGTGCAAACCACCTTCATCTGTCGATTTCATTGTTT